CATGCCATGGTTTCATTCACTTTTCATATCATGTGACCGGGGGGGGGGGGGGGGGGGGTTTGTTGTTAGGCGAATTCTGCTGGTGGCAGGGGGTAACTGTCATTCTAGGGGGAAATATGGGAGGGAGCAGGGGCGGACTGACAACTCATGGGGCCCCCGGGCAATAGGGGATCATGGGGCCCCTGTGTCCTTGCCCAAACTAAAAAAAGCCTATGAAAAAGGTACCAGGGGCATCTCATGGGCCCCCTACTGACCCAGGGCCCTCGGGCAGTGCCCAAGTTTCCATATGGTCAGCCCGCCCCTGGGAGGGAGTATACTAAGAGTGGGGATTTAGGGGGGTTTGTGCTGGGAGGGGGGTATGTGTAGTGGGGGGAGAAGATTTGTGCTAGGAGGGGGATTGGGGGGAATTTGTGCAGGGAGGGGGTATGTGCTTTGGGGGGGAGAAGATTTGTGCTAGAAGGGGGATTGGGGGGGAATTTGTGCTGAGAGGGTGGGATTTGCGCTAGGATGGGGATTTTGGGGGGAAATTGTATTAGGAGGGGGGTACTTGCAGTGGGGGGGGGGCAAGTTTTGTGCTATGAGGAGAATGGGCTGGGAGGGGGATATCTGTAGTGGGGGGGGGAGGGGAGAAGATTTGCGCTAGGAGGATATTTGCAGTGAAGTGGGGGGGGGGGGAAGATTTGTGCTAGGAGGGGGATATTTGTGCTAGGAGGGAGATTGGGGGGGGAGATTTGTGCTGGGAGGCGGCAGCACAGTGGCTACATGGTTAGCACTTCCACCTGGCAGTGCTAGGGTTGTTGGTTCGTATCCCAACCACGACACCACCTGCCTGGAGTTTGCATGCTCTCCCTGTGCCTGCGTGGGTTTCCTTCGGGTACTTCAGTTTCCTCCCCACACGCCAATGACATGCTGGTAGGTTGTCTCCTGTCTAAATTGTCCCTAGTATGTGTATGTATGAATGTGTGAGTTAGGGACCTTAGATTGTACCCCTTGAGGGTTAGGGACTGATGTGAATATGCAATAAATATGTAAAGCGCTGTGTAAACTGATGGCGCTATATAAGTACCTGAAATAAATAAATATTTGTGCTAGGAGGGAGTTTGGGGGGGGGGGGTTGTGCTGGGAGGGAGATATTTGCAGTGCAGTGGGGGGATATTTGTGCTAGGAGGGGGATTGTGGGAGGGAATTTGTGCTGGGAGGGGGGTATGTGCAGTTGGGGGGGGGGGGAGATTTGTGCTAGCAGGGGGATTGTGGGGGAGAATTTGTGCTGGGGGGGGTATGTGCAGTGCGGGGCATGAAAATTTGTGGTAGGAGGGGGGGTATTTGCAGTATATTGGGAGGGGAAATTTTAGATGCAGAGGGTTTATGCTAAGAGGGGTGATTTTTTTTTTTGTGGGTGGGGAGAGGGGGGAGCATTTGAGCTAGGGAATTGGGGGGGAGGGGGGCAAAGATTTGTACTGGGAGATGCAGGAATTTATGCTTGGGGGTAAGCATGTAGATTTTTTTTTTTTTTGGGGGGGGGGTATTTTTTGCTGACACATAATGCTCATACATCTTGAGGGGAGGCGCAGTTTGGCATGTTTGCTCTGGATGACCTAGTCCCAGCACTAGTCCCAGTTTCTGGGGCCTACTCTGGACAACTAATGGTGGGAAACTACAAAAGGGCAGAAACGCCTAATGCATTATCCACAGCACTTTATTAAAAACAAAAGATACAAATTATACTTACAAGTTTCAGGGGACTGGCCCCCGTCCTCAGAACAGTCTTTACTTTGAGGAAGGTGATCAGTCCCCCGACACGGTCCTATGAGGCTGCAGGGTGGACGTCTGGTTTTTGAATTCATGATATGTCATCTGTCTGCTTTGGTTTGTGAGATAAATTTGTATCTTTCATTGTACAAAGTGATGTGGATAATGTGCTAGGCGTTTGCACCCTTTTGTACTTTTTGTAGTTTGTACAGATAAAAGCCCTCGATCTAAGGAAGGCTGCATCGCCAGTTTAATCCAGTCTTTTTGTTGAACAGTGGTCCTTGTATTTGCACATTTTAAAGCCAACTTCTTAGCACGGAGATGTCAAGTTTATACAGTTCAACGATCGGAACAATAAGTTGGCAATGTTAAAAAACCAACACTGATCGCTAATGTACCTCCCTGAGCTAACTGTTTCATGGGACATCTACTACCCATGTCACCTCTTACTCTATCACTGAAAAAAATAATATCTGACAAAGCCAAACATTTCTGTTTGCATTTAGAAACCTCAGTGCCTGAGAGTATTTGGATCAGACCTCCAGGACAATCAGGAGCTGCCTGGAGATCTCAGATCTGTTGTGTTGTCCAATATGGTTGGTTCATGTCATGATTTCATTTTTCTGAATCCACCCATATCCCCCCCCCCCCCACCCCCCAGGACAGGCAATGATGGTGGGAACAATAACTTGGACAGGTTAGAAAACCAGCACTGTTCAGTAATGTACTTCCCTGAGCTAAGCAGTTCATGAAACATCTGCCCATGCCATCACTGAAAAAAATATTTGACAAAGCCAAACTTTATCTTTATGTTTAGAAGACTCAACACCTGAGAGCTTTTGGATCAATCCTCCATGACAATCAGTAGTTGCCTGGAGACCTCAGATCCAGCGTGTTGTCCAATGTGGCTTGTACATACCATGGTTTCATTTCTGAGTTCTCCCCAGCACAGCCAGTGTTGGTGGCAACAACAAATTGGACAGGTTAGAAAACCAGCACTGATTGCTAATGTGCCTCCTGGAGCTAAACATCTGTGTCCATGTCATTCCTTTCTCCATAACTGAAAAAAATGACCCAGACAAACAAGTCATGCCATGGTTTCATTCACACACACACACCCCCTTTCCCAGGACAGTCAGTGTTGGTGGGAACAATAAATTGGACAGGTTAGAAAACCAGCACTGATCGTTAATGTATCTTCTGGAGCTAAGCAGTTCATGGAACATCTGCCCAAGCCACATCTTTCTTCGTCAGTGATAAAAAATAGTATTTGATAAAGCCAAACATTTCTGTATGTGTTTAGAAGACTCAGTGCCTGATGACTTTTGAATCAGACTCCCAGGACAATCAGGAGCTGCCTGGAGACCTCAGAGCTGGAATGTTGTCTAATGTGGCTGGTCATTCCATGGTTTCATTTCTGAGTCCCTCCCTTCCCCAGGACAGCCAGTGTTGGTGGGAACAATACATTGGGCAGGTTACAAAACTGGCAATGATCTCTAATATACTCCCTTGAGCTAAGTGGTTCTTGGAACATCTGCCCATGCCACTCCTTTCTTCGTCACTAAAAACAAAAATATTTGACCAAGCCAAAGATTTATGTTTGCGTTTAGAAGACTAAATCCCTGAGAGCCTGAGGCAATCAGAGGCTGCCTAGAGATCTCAGATCTGGAGTGTTGTCCAATGTAACTGGGTCATGCCATGGTTGCATTTCTGAGCCCCCTCACCCAGGAGAGCCAGTGTTGGTGGGAACAATAAATTGGGCAGGTTAGAAAACAAGCACTGATACTAATGTACTTCCCTGAGCTAAGCAGTTTTGTGAAACATCTGCCTGCCACTCCTTTCTTCATCAAAAAAACATAATTGACCAAGACAGACATTTCTGTTTCGAAGACTCGGTGCTTAAAGGCTTTTGGATCAGGCCTTCCAATTTGACAGCCCACACATATCTATAGTTATCCTGAAGCTGGCCATACAAACACTGACTTCTTTTTGCAGGCTGAACAAAAGAAATTTAAACCTGGTCATACATGGTTCAGTTTTTTCATTCAGCCAGACGACTGAACAAAAAAAAATCTGTACTGATTCCACATCTACACATTCAAGGTGATTGGAGGAATCCTCCTCTCTGTGTCTTTTTATTCTGACAGAGGATACTCCCCCTCTGTCAGAATACACAGTGCTGCAGCCTCTTGCCTGCAGCATTCATTGAGTGGCTTTTATTCAACAGGTAGATCGACTTCTGTTAAACCGCAGTGGCCACACTTGGATTGAAATTCAGCCAGTCCCTGCTGAATCAGCAGAATTTTGATCCATGTATGGCCAGCTTCACAGATTCCTTCATCCACATTAACAGTAAAAATGGATGAATCCCCCTGTCAGGTTATTACATTCTGGCAGCTGATGCCACTAACTCTGTATATCCAAACAGTGCGTACTTCTGATTGGATGGAGACACTGTTCGGCCAACAATTTTTCACTCAGCTCCCCTGATTTTTCAATTGAAGGATGTTCGGTTGATTGGTGTCAACAGGGCTACCCATTGATCAAATTTCAGCTGGTTCATTAGGAAATCGCTAAATTTGCTCAGAGTATGACGCCTTTAAGGCTCTAGCCTAAAGACTGTTCCATAACCATGCACAACTTGTTTCCGTAGGAATTGCTGGTCCAAACCATCTCTAATAGAAGAAGGGGAAATTAGTTATCCAAAATGCTTTTTCATTGATAGTTTCCCAATATAAGGCCTGTGCCAGGGATGTCTGAACAGTGCATTAAAATGAAACTAAACCCATCAAGTCAACTGTTTTCCAAAACAGTTACATTCAAGGCATGCAATGAATGCTGTCACAGTTGCGTGTGCTCTCAAGCCATCACATAGCTGGTATCATAACAGATCACATGGGCAGCATCATGGCAACTGCATTTCAGAGTCCAAGATGACAGCTTCCTTGGCTGTAAAGGATAAGCGGGTTTAGATCCACTTCAAAGTGGCTATACACATTCAAAGGCAGGCCGCCATGCATGCAGAATCCTTCCTCTGAACAAGCTGATCAACAAATTACTGTTCTACCAAATACACAATTTTTTAGCATGGAATCTTGCCTATTGTCACCTATGCAGAGGAAAGGAAGGGTGCAGTAGATACTGGCTGGTCCTAGGAGGAAATACATAGGCCAGGGGGCCTCAAGGAAAGTCTGTTGACATACATACATCCTCTGGTCTGTCCAAATCCAGTGAACAATCTTTGTCTGTAGGTACCTAAGGGGCGAACTGACCATTTGAAAACTCGGGCACTGCCCGAGGGCCCGGGGTCAGTAGGGGGCCCCATGAGATGCCCCTGGTACCTTTTTCATAGGCTTGAGTTTGGGCAAGGACACAGGGGCCCCATGATCCCCTATTGCCCAGGGGCCCCATGAGTTGTCAGTCTGCCACTGAGGTACCTTTTACATGCACATTTAGCATGGTTTAGTAAAGCTCTACCAACCAACACCCAGTGTTTTCTGAAGATAAAATGTATTACCTAACTTCTCATCTGAGACTGTTCTCAGTTTGCTATTGAGGCCTGAACTTTATGTTAAACCCCAATGCTAATTGCTACCTACCCACTAGTTCACAGTCTACTGAGAATGCTTGTGAGCAGTGTCGCTTGTGCTAATTGGTTCAAAGGTGCTGGATATGCTTGTACTGATTGCTTTGGGGCCAATGAATGAGCTGAACTTGGCATTTGAGGTTCTTAGGTTCAATCTGGAGACCTTACTTGCAAACTGAAAACAATCTCAAATGATGCACTGAAGAAAACATTTCTAAACAGGATAATAGCAGGCACCTTGTGGAACATGGAAGCTGCCACTGCTGAACCCCCATCTGAAAATGCTAGCTGTTTCCCTGTCATGCTGACCCACTTGCTTCAGATCAATGACCCAAAACAGGTAAGCATGTACGGAAATCTGCCTTACAGGGTTAAATCATAGAGACTCTATGAATAAGCCCCATAGGCGGGGCAAAAAATGTCAGAGGAGCATAGCCAGGAGGAGTTCAGGATGAAGCCTTATCTTTACCTCTCTATATAGTGACTGGGTTCTGGTGTGCAGTGTTTCCAGCTTCTGTTTTCCAATCTGGTTCTGATAATCTGGATGAGCTTGTTTGGATGACAGCATCCAATCTGTGCTTTGGACTTCAGGGGGAAGTCTTTCAGTGCTTTGTATGGTGCTCTAAGTCTTTGTATATGGGTCACGGTTAGCTGGCATTTGGCTTCAATTTGTTAGTATATTTAAATCTACTAGTCCATCTAACACTCCCCTCTCCTCAGACTGACAATGCTGCTGTCTGCTGTGCTCATTCATCTAGACTGGGGGCTCTCTAAAACAGGAGGTGTGTTACTGGCCAAATCACCAGGTGAAAACAGCAGGAACAAAGCCTAAGAAAAGAAATATAATGCAGCCACCACATCTAAGGATGCAATATATTACATTTTTGGTTTCACGTTTAATACCATTTTAATTCTGTTAAGATCCAAGCAGGGGTGGACTGACCATTTGGAAACTCGGGCACTGCCCGAGGGCCCGGGGTCAGTAGGGGGCCCCATGAGATGCCCCTGGTACCTTTTTCATAGGCTTTTTTGAGTATGGGCAAGGACACAGGGGCCCCATGAGTTGTCAGTCCACCCCTGGATCCAAGTTGTCAGCCATTATTAGTCTTTAGTGGCAGACTCTTACTGTTACAGTCAAGACTGGGTCCTGTTTTGTTGTCTGGTAATTATATGACTACTCATCATCTTCTGGTCCTGATCACTTTGTTGAACATATCTTAAAATCAAAAACACTTTCAGTACTTCAATCATCTCTCCATCTCTCTCTAGTTATAGGAAGGGTCAACCTGTGTTTTCATCTACTGTCAACTCTTACTGATCCTGTTCAGATGATTTACAAGAATAACGGTTTATCTCTTCCTTAAATCTAAGCTCATTCCACAAAGGAGATCTTTGCTTTTTTCAGCAGCATTCCTTGTCTAAAAAACATTTGCAAGGCAGTCATCAGGTCCTCCTCTTTTACCTCCCCCACATGTATTTTATTTGCTAAAATTAACATGAATAGAATAATGCAGCAGTGGGGAATTTTTTTTTGTAGAATAATTTGTGCAATAGCACAATGATACATTCACAGGTAAACCAAAGGAAAAAGTCTTAAAGCAAAAACTTCTTTACATGTCCTTGTTGCTGATTTCCTACCTTCACTGAATACATCATCCATCTTCTGGTTTGCTCAGTAGTTGCTCTGAAATAGCCTGTTAATTTTCAAATCAAACTGTTAATTCTCTTTGGTTTCCTGTTTGTAAGACCAGTGGCTGTTATACCTCCTATTCCCCCAGCCACTGGTCTTGGCTCCTCTCTCCTGTAGTTCTTTCTCCAGGAAGCAGTGATGTAATTCAGCCCCACTTGCAGTGTTGGGTGGACCGGGACTCTCAGACTATCAGACACATTCAAAATGTACAGGCCTCATGTACCCACCCACATTCATTACAATTCCTTTTGGTTAATGGGAGCTGTAGTTTCCTTTTACTGCAAAGAGAGAGGAGAGGATATGATATAATCCCAGATATTACACCTCCTCCTTGGTAGAGCAGATGCTGTTATCTTTTAAATTACAATGAAGACTTTCTGAAAGTTCAATTAGACTTTTTTCCTAAATTGTAAGGATTGTAAGAAATTTTATTAAAGTGTTACTAAACCCAACCTGCATTCACTATATCTGGTCTCCCATAGTACACAGAACATAGAAATGCAATTATTTTAGTAAATATAAACTGCAAAATACCTTTTCTCATCAGCATTTAGAGCAGTCTTGTGACTTCTATCAGTGTCCAGCAGAGCACTGGTTAAAGCTTGTAGGAGGAGTTTTTATTCTCTCACTGCCCTATGAGATTGCATAACCCCTGACCCTCTGTCTGGACAGTGCTGATTCACCCTGTGTTTATCACATGCACTCTCCCAAGAAAAAGAAAAAACTCTCTAGCAGTACACACCAAACTGAGCATGTGCAGAGTGTCCCTGAGGCTCTGTTCTATTAGGAGGTGAAATGGGGAACGTGGAAGAAGGGGAGGATCAGAGAAGACAAGATCAAACATCCTTTTTACACAATGCAGAGGATTAAGCCCTTAGGTTCCACAGTGAGTATTACATGCATGCTTTCCTGCATATACAGACTGATTTTACTGTGGTGTGTTTAGTAACAATTTAAAGAAATGCTAAAGGTTCTTTTTTTTTTTTTCCAGAAAATAACAAACATGTCTATACTTACCTACTGTGTACAGTGATTTTGCACAGAGCAGCCTGGATCCTCCTCCTCTCAGGTCCCCTGCAGACTCTCCTGCCTCCTCCTTTCTGTTGTGTGCCCCCACAGCAAGAAAGCTTGCTATGGGGGGCGCCCGCTGCTCCATGTGTCTATTCACACATGGAGCTGTGGCTTGGCCCCGCCCCCTCTCTCTCATCATTGGCTGACTGGCTGTAATTGACAGCAGTGGGAGCCAATGGCTCCCGCTTGCTGTCTCAGCCATTCAAGGCGCAGAGACGCGGGGCAACCGAGGCTGTCATTCACACTGCTGGATCGCGATGAGGCTTAGGTAAGTATTGAGGGGGCTGGGGGAGCTGCTGCACACAGGTTTTTTTATCTTGATGCATAGAATGCATCAGCCTTTACAACCACTTTTAACTGTTTTTTGTAGACAGTTGTACTAATGAATAAATGTATACCCTCCTCCTTTACACCTCTCAAAAAGTCATACTTCCTCCCTAGAAAGTGCAATACTATATATAACCTTTTTGTGATATATTACAATAAATAAAATAAAAAACTAAATTAAAATATAAAGTGTTCAAATAAAAATCACAAAAGTCCAAAAAAACCAAAAGTGTCCAAAAAAAGTCACTCTCTAACGCGTTTCGTCACTTCTGGACTTCGTCTGAAGGGATCCGGACGAAGTCCGGAAGTGACAAAACGCGTTAGAGAGTGACGTCAAGACGCACGCACGCAGACCGGAAGTGTCGCCGCGGCCATTTTGTCGGTTATCCACACATGGTTTTCTACATTGTTTGGTGGAACTTGCCTAGAGCCATATCTGGAGCTGAAATGTCTATGTTTTAAATGTTCTTACTGGATGGAATAGGAGTCAATCCTTTTATTTGATGAAAAAGTTTGAAAATTTGGGACTTTTTTGGACATTGTTTGGACTTTTTTTGGACATTTTTTTTTTGGACACTTTTGGTTTTTTGGACTTTTGTGATTTTTATTTGAACACTTTGTTTTAATTTAGTTTATTTTATTTGTTGTAATATATCACAAAAGGGTTATATATATAATATAGTTGTACTAATGGGTGATTTTTTTCTTTGCCTAACCCAGAGTTCTTTAAATATCGTAAATCTGGTCCAAAATAGAGTTATCCAAGGTTCAGCTCAAACATGTAGCAGCAGAAACAAATGATAATGAGGTGGAAAAAAAAAAGGTTTTACAGCTTCAGTGAAAGGAAAGCATCTGAAAAAAAGTACACTGACCTAGTGTAATAAAAACTTTACAATTGATTAAAGTGTATGTTACAATTTATGCTTTATTACACAATAGTTCTAGACAATAGCGTAAATACCCTGGTTCACCATCACCTCAGTATGAGATAATACACAAAGACCTAAAATCACATAAAAACAACATCAAGACCCGTCTTAATATAAATGTGCTGCATAAGCAATGACAGAAACCTGTCTAGTGCATTTGCAGCACCAATACATTGGTTACACCACCAGCAGGGGATGTGTCAAAAAATTGTACCATCAGGTATGTACTGTACAGCGCTATGCAATATTGGCTGATAACAGGCACCATATATTAATAAAATTACCCATAACCCTATCAAGGCAATGTGGGTAAAAAATTGTAAATATAAAGGGAGGGTATGGATGCTCCTATAATAACAGGATGATAGAATCAATGCAGCCCCTATGTAAGGCACGAGTGAGTGGTGAACATGTATAGATTCATAATGGACATGCCCATATGTAAAGATGCAGAATTATTAATGAAAGAATCACTGTTCGTATCCTTAGTGAGATAAAGATGGCAGGGCCCTGCTTCACAGGGTTCTTCACCGCAACGTGCGGACTATAAACCATCTTAATATAGATGATAATATGAAGCCTGCTGAGTCCTCCGTCTCTTGTGATATATAATTGGTGCCTTGCACCTAGATTGTGAATCATATTGTCCCCATCCTGCAATAAATTGATGACAAATGGTCCTGACGAAGCCGAGTGAGATACACTAAGGATACCAACAGTGATTCTTTCATGAATAATTCTGCATCTTTACATATGGGCATGTCCATTATGAATCTATACATGTTCACCACTCACTCGTGCCTTACA